GAAAGCAGGCTGAATAAAAAGTAGAAATATAGGTACTGATTTAAACTAAATTCACCTAATAAAATCTACCTCATCTCTAAATCATATTGTTCTAGAACGTCAGGAAGAGGCTCTGGCTCCCTAAGTACAAAATGCTACTAAGAAATATAAGGCCCACTGAAATGGTTCTCTTCACAAGAAATTATCCTTGATGCTACAATTTTAAAATGTGAAGAATGCTAAGGACAAATTTGCCTATTTACAATCTATGACTCCTGATCACCTTTTCTTTTCTTTTTTTTTTTTTTGGTACCAGGGATAGAACTCGGGTTCTTGTGCTTGCAAGACAGGTGACAAAACCACTGAGCTAAATCCCTGGCCCAATTTCCTAAGGGTAAATTTGCATTCTTTGCAGAATGAAGAAAAATGACAAATAGAAGACAGCCTTAAGTATATAAAAAGTTTTAAAAACTTACTAACATAGTAGAAAAAAGTTACAGTACAAAAATTACAATGACTATTTCCAGGCTCTGAAATCAATTAATTTATTTTAAAGAATGTTTCTTTCACAGGAAAAATGATTGATTTATTATATATTTTACAATTACCTGGCATCTTCCATATGTGCTTCCCCAAAATATTTTTTTGAAGTTTTTTTTGTTTTGTTTTTTGGTACCAGGGATTGAACTCGGGTCCTTGCACTTGCAAGGCAGACCACCGAACCGCTGAGCTAAATCCCTGGCCTTCCCCAAAATATTAATAGCCCAATGGGCTGCGGATTTAGCTCAGTGGTGCCACTGCCTGCCTCACAAGTGCAAGGTTCTAAATTCAACCTCTGGTACCCCCCAAAAATCGCTGCTCAGCATTTTGGCTAAGATCAAGTGTGGTATCCCCCCAAAAAATTAATAGCCCAATAAACAATGTATTGAATAAAAATTCCATTTAAATTGCCACTGACATGTACTCACTTAGGCAGCACATATACTAAATTGCCACTGACGCAGTACCAGTAAATATTACCTGTACATCATAACCATCCCAACCTTTGTTCTGACACCGTATGACTTGTGGGGTGTAAGAATCACAACCAGCTGTGCCACCAACACATCTCAGCTGTGGGATTGGATCCAGCCTCCGGGAAGTGGTATAGCGATCATGGTGGAGAGTAAGAGCTTTTACATCCCGCAACAATATTTTGTCTGAAACAGTACAAATGCAGATGAAGACAGTAAATATCTTGTCAAACACAGAAACATTCACTCTAAAAACTTTGTCATAGAAAATAGGTTCAAGATTAAATGTTCTTTCTCTTCTTTAAAGATGACTAAGAAAAGATCAATCAGTTTCTTAAAGGGAACTTAACATTCAGGCCTTTTACGCAAAATTCAGAAGCACATATCTTCAAGACCTCTTTTCATTTCAAGTCAGATGCTCCTACAATATAGGTTGTGTATAATTTTTCCTAAATAAGAATAAGTTCAATAACCTGAAATGAACTATAGTTGTAATAATATTATGGTTAACTAAAATGGCAAAAATATCTAAGCTCCTAATGTATATTTAATTATTTAAATGAATAGATCAATAAATTCTGACCTATTCTTACAAAGGAATATTCTATATTCCACAGCAGTGAAAATGAATTAGAACTTGGGCCCAGGATTTAGCTCAGTGGTTCCACTACCTGCCTCACAAGCACAAGGTCCCAAGTTCAATGCCCAGTACCAAAAAAAAAAAGAATTAGAACTCATGTATCAAACTGGATAAATGGTAAAATCATTTAAGCAAAATAGAAGTTACAGAATGTTTAGTATAACTTTACATAAACTGAAAAAAGGCAAAACAGTACTATATATTAACATTTATAAATGTATGCAATATAAAAACATGTATAAGAATGATCAAACACCAAATGCAAATGAGTACCTCTAGGGAGAGAAGAAGGGAAGAGACAAGCTCTTCTATCCCTAATGTTTCCTTAATTGGGGTGGGAGTTTGTAGCAAATATGGCAAAAATAAAGATTAAATAAAACTGGGAGTACGTGGTTGTTCATTGTGTATTTCTACGTTTAAATATTTAAAATATTTCACAATTTTAAAAATAACATTTGAACTCTTCACAAATTAAAAATAGTATCAACAAAACTCAGGGATATAATTCAAGAAAAGACCTCACTGAAGGACATGAGTTGTCATACTTTCTAGGATGCAATAAATATCCAGGCCTGAAAATACAGAAGACACACAAATGAAATTTTAGAACATTGGAGGCTAAAAAGATTCTACAGGGCCGGGGATTTAGCTCAGTGGTGCTGACGCCTGCCTTGAAGGCACAAGGACCTGAGTTTGATCCCCAGTACCAAAAAAAAAAAAAAAAAAAAAAATTTAAAAAAAAAAAAAAAAAAAAAAAAAAGGTCATATACTTAGAAAAGAACACACAGAATGCTTCTAATCTTTCTCTTAACTGGATGAGAATACACTGATGTTCATTTTATTATTGCTTTAAACTATTCATATGCATTATTTTTTACGCCAGGGATCAAACCCAGGGCCTCAAGCACACTAGGCTAGTGTCCTATTACTGAGCTATACACTCAGACTACATATATATGCATTTTATGGTCTTCATCCCTTCTTAGTTACTTTCCTCACAGCTGAGACAAAACACCTGACACACACAGTCAAGGGAGGGAAGGTTTACAGAGGTTTCAGTTCACAGTTGGCTGCCTCCAAGGCAGAGTGGCGAGGCAGACAGGCATTGCAGAAAAGAAACAGTTCATAGCAGGCAGAAGACAGCAAAAGCAAGCAAGCAGCAAGTGACAAACCTCTTTCTGTCCTTTATATCTTATCCAGACTAGGCAGCACTCACACCCTTAATAATCTTAATGCCGTTAATCCCAGCATTGCACCATGAATCAATCTCAATGTCACACACTCTAGATCCAGCCACCTCCAAAAAGCCCCACCTGTGACCACATGAGGATTTGGGGGGACATCTGTAAATATATGTTTCACATCTTTTGGGGAGCTAAATCCCCAGCCCCACAATTTTTTTAAAACTAAACCTACTCTGCCTCTAATTTTACATTTCTGTGACAACCAAAATTAACAACCTAGCAAGAACCTCTCCTCAATCTTTTTCTTGCTCACCCAGCAACTACACAAACAAGTACAGTACTGATATTCATTTTATTAGTCTTTTTTAAAATTATACAGACACATAGTGACACACACACACACACACACACACACAGCATATGGTGGAGATCAAACCCAGCAGTTACACAAACAAGTACTACAGTTTCTATTTTCATAAAAACTGAATCATACAGTGAATTTTATCCACTTTTTGCTTAATTATATATAACGGATTTTTTTTTTTTTTTTTTGGTTTTGGTTTTTTGAGACAGGGTCTCACTATGTAGTTGAGACTGATCTGGAACTCACTATGTAGCCCAGGCTGGTCTTGAACTCACAGCGATCCTCCTGCCTCAGCCTCCCAAGTGCTGGGATTACAAGCATGTGCCATCACGCCCGGCTATCACGGACATTTCTTTATGCGAGCAGATACAAACCACATTTTACTTAAAAAGAACTCAAATTCCACTAAGATTACAGGCCACATTCTCCCACACTCTCCCAATAAAAGGCTTATAGGCCATTTTCTCATCAAATATGATAAAATTAGAAATATAAATGTATAAAATAATATAATAATAAGGCTTTAATTTAATTGGAAAATAAACATAGCCTTTGCATTAGATGGACATCAAAACAAATTCAGAATTGGGCTTATAAAGTCAATACCTTATAGTGCCAGTCAAATGTTTAAAATATATCAATGGTTAAAACTGGCTGAGTAGAATATACAGGAGGTAGCAGGGACACAATAAATGGAGAATTTAAACCTTAATTTAAAGACACTCAAATTTCAAAAATTTAAGGCAATTCAATCCAACTAGAACAGTTCTGTAAACATCAGGTTTTAGTATAAAGTTCTTCTTTGAAAAAAGCCAAAATCTGTAGAGCACAAAGGAATGTTTTTGTTTTTGTTTATTTGGTACTGGGTATTGATCTATAGACCTTGAGCTTGAAAAGCAGGTGCGGTGCCACTGAGCCCTACCAAAAGAAATGTTTACAACCTACATGTTTTCACTATTTTTAAGTAGGACATAAACAAACTAGTGGTTATCTATGTTAAGAAAAAAAAACAAATATGGATGAGGCTGTAGCTTAGTACTAAAGTACGTGCTTCATACTCACAAGGCCCTGGGATCAATCTCCAACGCCAACAAGAAAAAAAAAGAAAAAGAAATCAGAAAAGGTAAGTCAAAATAAAATAAAAGAGAAGATAAAAATATTAAAAATTTAAAATGCAGGACTCAAAATTGGTTACTTAAAAAACAGATTAGCAGGGCCAGGGATTAGCTTAGTGGTTCTGCCGCCTGCCTTGCAAGCACAAGGTCTCGAGTTTGATTTCCCCAAAACTAAACAAGATTAGCAATGGACAGAACTGTTATGAAAAACTATAAACACTACGTAGGTATAAAATGGTAAATGAATAAAGAGAAAACTGTATGTTGTATACATGGATGGGAATATCACATGATAAACTGCCATTTTCTCAAAATTAACCTGTAATATCAAAGAAATCCTATTTCAAATACCAATAAAACATTTCTTTGAATACTGACAAACTGATTCTAAAACTTAAATGCAAGAATAAATATAGAAAAGCTAAAACTATATGAAGGAAACAATAACAACAAAGACAGGAAATCTGTCCTACAGATATCAAAACATAGTTAAATCTTAGATAATGTAAGCAATTTAATAATGCCACAGACTTAGAAACACTGATCAACAAAGTAGAATCCAGCAAATAGAGACTTCTGGGTGATTGAAAATTTTGTATAGGACTTCAGTGGCATTTCAACTCTGAAAAAGTAGTCAGAAAATAGTATTAAAACACAGATTATCCATGGGTAGGGGCAGTTAGATTCTAACTCATACTATGTACAAAAATTAATCCTTGATGATTAAAAACACTATGAGAATACAAAAATTACAAATATTAAAAGTACACAAGTATGTTTATGAAGGACTTCTTAAAGACATCCAAAACAAAAGATTGACCAGCAAGTAGACCAAATTATGTTGAAATCTATTAAAATCTAAAAATTCATATAATAATATTCAAAATGAATGTGAAAAATCCACTTGCCACCACAATTTTTTTTTCACCTGCAACACCAACTTTACTGAAAATGCTTTGGGAAAGTTTTACAAAAAAACAAATAAATTATAAAAATAACTGACAATCCTCATTCTTTGGATATTTCTTATTGTGGCTCTGTAAAGACAAACTGTCCTTAAAGCTCCAGCTAAGGAGAAAGGGGAAAAAAACAGTCCAAGTATAAACCATTTAATCACCTGGATGTATCTGTTCCTAAATATATAGAGGAGGCCCTAAAGCCTACAAAACTAGCCCCATTCCCAACCACAGGTTGAAAGTCTTATGAGGCAGAACATTAAGACTCCTTTATAAATGTGAAAACAGAACAACTGGAAAAGGTCTTGGAATAAGTTAGCTAAGAGCCATGACCACTACGCTGCCTTGCCTTCCCCTTGCATAGAAATGCAGTGATGTAGTCTGACCATACAGTAAGTGCAAACAGCAATTATTCGAGAGTCTTACACATACTGGCAAGAAGCACCCCAGTCTTGAGGTCTGAGAAGCAGTCATGCTCTTATGGCCTCCTGGTCAGCTCCACTTTCCACCCAGTAGCTTCTATGCCCCAGGAGAGGGCAAAAGAGATATACGGTGGGAGAATAATTGGGAGACAGCAGCCTGCCAGCTCAGCCTAAAACTAGGAGATGTCTGTTCCTATCTGTGGAAGTGCACTGGCATCAGGTAGGGACCAGAGCACCTTGCTGGATTTCAGAGGTTTAGTCTCAGCAGTCAGCCCTAACTGGGAAGACTACCTCCCTTTTCACACGCAGCCACTGGACACTAGAAGCCCAAAAGTTGAGTGTGGCTTGGCTCGGACATCCTGTATTACGGGCTCCAGTGAAGAGTTAGGACTGTGCAGCACGGGGGCTCGATGGCTTCAGCTGAAGGTTCATCCCCAAGGTGAGGCAGGGCCTAACCTCCCTCACCCATCTTGCTCTCCCTGGGTTTTCAGGCCCATATCTGAGA